TTGAGCAGATGACTTACCTTCCCTGAGCCTCCGTCTGCCCATGTTAAAATGGGCTAACAGCACTTCTCTGTTGGGCCTGTGGGCCCCAAAAGAGATGCCATGCGCGATATCCTGAATGGGTTCCCACCAAGATGGCACCCTTCCCTCCCTTTGCAGAGTCCCAGAGAAAAGACGTGCCCCGCCCCCACCTCCACCTGCTGGGACTCTGCCGATATTCCCTCCAAATTGGTTTTGACAAGGTTGGTGACAGATATCTTTAATATGGCTGCTCCAGACCTCAGTTTCCAAGAGAGGGTGTTGTTGCCAGGGCAGAAATGTCACATCTTTAGGGAGAGTGCAGGGCAATACAGTTGTGATAGGCAGTTTCCATTTCTGCACACACACACACACACACACACACACACACACACACACACACAAATGCCCAGTGTGCCCTCAGGGCTGAAGAGAGCAGAAATGGTTCCAGCGAGGTAGAAGAGAAAGGGTCTCCTTAAAGTGCTGGGAAGGTGGGGTCACAACTGGTATTTCAGAGCCTACTCATTGGTCATTCACTGCAGAGCCTCAAGGATCCTGGGTTTGGGTTTGCTTCTCGATGACCCTGAGACGCCCTCTTGTGGGCATCAGCGGTAATGACCGGCCTCTTTGCTCTCCTAGCATTGTGTTTGTTAAAGGGACAGGTAGCCATCATTCTTTTTGATGCCAAACAACCCCTGTAGTACAATTCCCAAAGCTTGGAAATGAAGACATAGTCTTGTAACTGGCCCTACCTCTAAATATGGAACTGTTACTTTGCTTTTTAAAAGTCATTATGCAAAATTTTGAAACTGACGAAAAGCACAAACAAGATGGTTTAAGACTGGATTATCATTTCCAGAAGACCTGAGTTCAATTCCCAGAACCCATATCAGGGGGCTCACAGCTGCCTGGAACCCTGGCTCCATGGGATATGACACCTCTGGCCTCCTCAGGCATCCACCCACACACATACACACATGCTTAAAAATAAATATTTAAAAAGAAAGAAAGACTTACGAGCTAACAGTGGCCCTCTACACTCAACCAACAAGAGAAAGGGATGAAGTTATAGAGTCCTTGGTCCTCCAGACACTGCTTTAGAAGGAATGGCACTATTTCTACAAAGCACTTGGCCAGTTGTAGCCCCGTTCCGAGCTGGTGGTCCAGGCCAGGCAGTCACGAGGACTGAGTACCAAGCGGCTCAGCTCCAGCTGCTGATCCGAAATGGCAGGTGCTTCCCCTAGGCCATCTCTCCATGTGGGACTTCCTTTTCAGCCAGAAGTCCCTGCACAGTTAGCACCAGGGCATGGAGGGTACTCAACCCACCCATCCATGCCACGGTGCAGATGGGCATCTATTTGGGCCAGACCCTGGCTCCTGTAGATACTGCCCCCGCCCTAGCTCACACTCTGCACTAGATATGTTCAGAGAGCTAACTCCAAACATGCTTGGATGGAAAAGGACCCTCAGGCTTCTCACGGCTCCACCACTCCTCAGGCATATGTACTCACCTGCGGACTGAGGGTGGTAATGGGACCTTCTTCACCAAACAGTGGTGAGCACCCAGCGGAGACACGGGGTAGACCATGTGTAAGACACAGCGTGGTGACTTGTTTCTTCAGTCATGCCAAATTCTCTGCACATCTTGACTGAACCTGGCCATGACTGTAAAGGTCTGGGTGCCTGCTGGACCTTCAAGAAGGTCATGTTTTATAAGCAGCCCATGGTGGGAAGGCTTTAGAAATCATTCATCCAACATACCTTATTTTAAAGGAGAAGGAAGGGGGCAGAGAAGAAAAGGGATTGACCCCTGGTCACCCCAGGTTTGAAGGGACTCCAGACAGACAGAAAGCCTCCTGCACTCTAACCAAGGCTTCAGTACTGAAATGCGTTCAACACTTCATGGCTCTGGATCCTTCTTGGTGAAGTGGTCACAACTGACCTTCCTTCCCACGGTGACTCCCAGTCCAGTGCTCACCGACTTTAACTGAAGTTTATGAGTCCCAGACGCTTAGGAAGACAGCCCGTTACGAAGCTGGGTTACACCTGACTCCCAGGTCAGGACTTGGCTCAAGTTCATCCCTGGATTTACAGACATTTTGGTAAAAACCTTGGGCCAGAAGAAGCAGGCTTCTACTCTAGGTGGCAAAAGAGTAAATAAATGCTGATGTTTGTTTGTTTGTTTGTTTGTTTGTTTAAAAAGGAAAAACAAGAAGATAAAAGCTGGGTCAACCTTCTCTCCCCAGTAAACCCTGGCCTTCATCAGCTGGATGAGCAGAGTGGCCATATTTTAAGGAACCAGGTGACTTCTCCTCTCTTGAATGTAGTCCACTGACTCTCTGCATGCCCAAGATGGATGGTACTAGTCTAAGGTCAAACTCAAAATGCCAACGATTGCATCAAAACATCAGATTAAATAAAAATAAAAATAAGCAATCATAAGAATAAGTTAGCCATTCGGTGACCTGTGGCTGGGGGAGGCCACCATCCGCATTTCCTCTTTTCTTTCAAAAATAGCTGGATGCTTGGAGCCTTTCTGGGGTCACCAAATAGGAAAGAGTCCCTCAGGAGCCATTACAAAGTCCCAGTCTCTCCATTTCTCTCTTGCTATCACATGGAAAATCACCAAGGAGAATAATGATTTTCTGTACACATGTGTAAACAAAAGAACATACAATTTGCCCTTTCTCCCTAGGAGAGCATTTTACTTTTTTTATTTTTCCAGTTTAGGGAAAATGCTAAGATCACTTAGGGCATTGTGGAAATGTCATGAAATCAAAGACACGATACTGAGAAAATGCAAAGAAATCTTTAGAAGACAAAGAGGCTGGCTGCCGGGGTGGGCATGTGGTGAGCCAGTCAGATTTCAGTTATAAGGTTTCAGTTTTAGGAAGCAAGCTTAAATGGGAATGGGAAGTGGAAAATTCCAGGAAGGGAAGTGTGCCAGACCCTTGCAGAGGCCAGAAGTGCCCATTTGGGGCTGATAAAGTGGTCTGTATTCTGTGGAGATTGATGAATAGACTGTCGAATAGACAATAGACTGTGTGCAGTACTTGCTCACAGTTCAATAATGGGACCGAGTGGCAGCCATGGGGACAGAGGCAAGAACTTGGCTCTCAGCTCAGCTCAGACACATTCGGGTTCAACATGACTTCTGGTGAGCTCTGCCCCCTCCCTGAGCCTGCTTCTCCTTTTCAGAAAAATGTGATGTTCTTTGTGGAAGTGATATCGGAAGCCTGGATTCCATTGCTAGCACCCGTCAGTGTCAGTCAGGGTGTCTATTGCTGTGAGCAAACGCCATGACCAAAAGCAACTTGGAGAGGGAAGGGTTTCTTCTGTTTACAAGTTCTGGGAACAGTCCATCACTGAGGGAAGTTATACACAAAAAAAAAAAAAAAAAAACGAGGCATGGGGGCAACGGTGAAATCCATATTCAAGGCCCACCCCCACCAACTGATGTCATCAGCTAACAGACCCAGGCCAGTGCGGCTGTCTGTCTTCTTCAGTCTCCACTGTATGCCAGGGCGTCACCCCTGGACTCTGGAGCTCTTTGTATAACCCTGATGCTTGAGAAAGGGCAGGGGACTTCAGACAGCCCATAGAGGTTCGGGGGGTGCAAACCCCACAGAGCAGATAACCAAGCTGACGGGTGACTTCCCCTGCACCGGCATGCCAGCCGCGTGCCCATAAATGACCCTTCCCCTTTCTCATCTCTTCCCATATCCCAGTTTGCTCCTTTCCCGAGGGACAGGTACTGCTCCTAGCAATAGGGTGGGGAGAGGTCATGGAACATGAGCCATGTGGCCAAGGGTGTGACGTCTCAGCAGCCAGGAGAGATCAGGGGAGTTTGCAGTTGTTTATCAAAAGCATCTGGGTTCGTGGCAGCCTGAGAGAAGATGGGGTCAGCATCGGCGCTGGACAGTGACTGGAGACTTTAAAAATGGCCTCAACTGCTCCAGTAAGTTAGTTCAGGTCAGAGTCCATTTCATACAACAGCAGTGTTCCTCACAGCAAGAACTCCTGGGATCCGGTAAGTGTCGGCAACACCGTCAGCCTCCGCTGACGCCCAGTCGGGTGTTGAGTGCTCTGAGAAATCCATCAGAAGGGAGAACGCTTCTACCGTCCCACTCCAAGGTCCCAGTAAGGAATATTGCCCTGCATTCACTGTGTGCTCACAGCAGAGCTCAGGATCCAGTTCACCCAGGATGGGCCTGGCCACCTCCTCCCGACTTGGCAGCCGGTGGTTCGGGTACAGCATTTCCACAGTTACACCAATCATTAACGCGGCAATGGTGGGTCAAGGGTCACGGGATACCTCGTGAGGGATGAAAAAGGATGTCATCGATAGGCTGGCAGGCCTGAGAGGTCACAGAGGGTCTATCCTGGCAGTCACCCTCCTACTGAGCCACTGGAGAATCACCCTAAAGCCTCACTATGTGGAGGGTGCTGGCACTTTGGGGTGCCCTGGAGAGCCTGGGCCTAGCCTAAAAGAATAAATACATACTCCCCAACACACACACACACACACACACACACACACACACACACACACACACACTCCTAACCCTGATACTGGGGCTTCATAGAAGAAAGCAACATTATGTATTATATACATTAACCGTCATTTGAACCCACCTGAAAGGGCCTGCTTTAGTTAGTTTCTGTTGCTGTGATTGAACACCATGAGCAAAAGGAACCTAGGGAGGAAAGGGTTTATTTCGTTCACACTTCCAGGTAACAGTCAGAACTGAAGCAGAGACCACAGAACAGTCCTGCTTACTGGCTTGCACCCCATGACTTTCTCAGCCTGCTTTCTTATACCATCCAGGACCATTACCAAAGGGTAGTGGAGGATAATGTAAAGATTTGTCACTTGAATTGGTTTAATAAACACTGATTGGTCGGTAACCAGGCAGGAAGTATAGGCAAGGCAACTAGACGAGGAGAACTCTGGGAAGAGGATGGGCGGAGTCAGGAGTCACCAACCAGACACAGAGGAAGCAAGATGAGAATGCTGTACTGAGAAAAAGTACCAAGCCACGTGGTTAAATATAGACAAGAATTATGGTTAATTTAAGTGTAAGAGCTAGTTAATAATAAGCCTAAGCCATGGGCCAAATGGTTTGTAATTAATGTTAAGCTTCCAAGTCAATTATTTGGGAAGCGTCTGCCGGGTATTTGGGAACAGGCAGGCAGGAGGGAAACTTCCACCTACATTCAGTGGGATGTCTTTCTGTATGCTGTGAATATGTGTTGCTCCCATTGGTTGATAAATAAAGCTGCATTGGCCTATGGCAGGGCAGGATGGAGCCAGGCAGGAAATCCAAGAGAGATAGAAAGGTTGAGCGGGAGCCTCTCCAAGCCGCCACCAGGAGAAGCAAGACGTGAGAGAACAGGTAACGCCATGAAGCCACGCGGCAAACATAGATTGATCGGAACGGGTTAAGTTGTAAGAGCTAGCTGGCAAGAAGCCCGAGCCACAGACCAAACAGTTTGTAATTAATATACACCCCTGTGTGTTTATGTGGGACTGAACCACTGCGGGACAAGGGGGGGCAGAAACTTCTGTCCACAGGGTAACACTGCCCACAACTGACTGGGCCCTCCTACACCAACCACTAATCAAGAGAGCACCCCCATAAACTTTTCTACAGACCAATCTGACGGAGGCATTGTCTTAATTAAAATCCCCTCTTCCTAGATATGTTTTCCTAGGTTTGTGTCAAGTTGGCAAAAGCCAACCAGCAGCGAGCCTCTCTATGCATTCTGGGAAAGAGAGTCTGCCCATTAGCTGAAGAAGCAGGAGAAGCTGAGATGAATGTCATGGAAGGTAAGCATGTCTATTCAGACTGGACAGGGTGCTCAGAGTGACCAGACACCTTCAGGGAAGTGACTTAAGTCTAGCTCCAAAGATGGGAAGGAGAGGCTGGAAGCACATTCTGGGCTGAGCAAATGGCTCATGTAAAGCCCTGGGATGCTGAAGAGAACTGCTTTCTCAGCTGAATCATGGGATAGAACCAACTTCATGGAGACACCCCAGCACTTGGCTGGCTCCTTTTGGATTCTGAGCTACTGCTATTCCAAGTGCCACTTAGACACATTCTGCTGCCTGAAACTCGGGCTTCACAACCAGCACCCCTCATCACAGGGGCTGAAGTTTAGGCTGACTGTGGGCCTGGAAAGAACCAGAGAATCTTTGAAGAGAATTGAAGCCAATCTCTTCTGTTAAGAAGGCCCCAATGAGAAACTGAGGCCTGGGAAGAAAAAGTCATCAGCCTAGACCACTCAGCAACTTGACAAAAAGAGGCCACACTCCTGACGCTTGCTTTCTTGGGTCTCACTACTGTCCCCTCCTGGCAGTTGCTGATGGGATCACACTGCTATCATTAACCAGTTACTGTAGTCAGAGCCTGGACCGTGGCAGCCCATCCTGAATAGGCCGATTAAACAGACAAATAGAGAAAGGAGATTTATTCCGTGCAGCCACACTGGGAAGAGACACAAAGGATCCTGATGACGCCCATGTCCATCTTCCGGGTTCCGATATGAGTTTCAAGTTGAAATAGAGGGCAGGAAGTATACGTAATTAGGTGGACATGGCCGAGGTGTGATCCCCCCTGTCACTGAGCCATCGTCCCAGCTCCAGGGTCTCGTGTAAAGTGGTCTGACAATACTTCAGAACTGGGTAAAATGTGTTTCCAGGCGTCACACTCCTTCTCTGGCTGCCATGAGCTTTTCCACCTTTCCTCTCTCCCAGCACGATGCTCCAAAGGACATCTCGATTCCTTGGGGACCACTCTTTCTGAAGTGGTGGGAAGAGGGCCAGGGTGTCTCATAGACCGTCTTCCCTCCCGCCTGGTCAGTTACACGACGTGTGGAGAAAATAGGACATCAGTCTGGCAGACTTTCAGCTTGGCCAGCTGTTTTTAAGTGGGAGAAAAATGTGACAGGCGCATGATGTCTGTACAGATGCCCTCCCCCACCGCACCCCCATTTCCCAGGCAGAGAGAGGCCATTGCCAGGGCTCTGGGAGGAGGAAAGATGGCCTCCGCCCCTGAGGAGCAGGCAGTGAGCTGAGCCTCTCCATCACTTACCTTTGCGTCACTAGGACCGTAAGAGCCTGACAGAAACACCTGAGGGATCACAGAGGGACTGGCCACGGTTTCAGGCCTTCATAACAGGGAGGGAAGGGCAGAGCATTTCAGGCCGCAGGAGGCTGTGGCAGATGCTCTTCACATCATGGTGGACCCAGAAGCAGAGAGGCAGAGACCAAAGGCTGGGTATAAACTTAAAGGCCCACGCTAAAGGATCTTGTAGCACAAATCTTAACAGGTCTTATTAATAAAAAAAAAAAAAAAAAACAAACCCGGTGCCAGTTATTGGGGTCAACGCTGGAAGATCAGAGAAGCAGAACAAGCCACAGCTTCCTCACCTCCCCAGTTCCTCAGCTGATCCTGTTTCCTCAGACTGGAAGCTTCTGAGTCCTCATCCAGAATGAATCTCAGCTGAACTGCTGCTCAAAAGCCTAAAAGCTTAACCAGCTCTGGTTCCTGGTCCTCACACCTTATATTCCATTCTGCTTTCTGCCATCACTTCCTGGGATTAAAGGCATGTGTCACCATGCCTGGCTGTTTCCAGTGGCTTTGAACTCACAGAGATCCAGGCGGATCTCTGCCTTCAGAATGCTAGGATCAAAGGCGTGTGTGCCACCATTTTCTGGCCTCCATATCTAGTGGCTGTTCTGTTCTCTGACCCCAGATAAGTTTATTAGGGTGCACAATATTTTGGGGAACACAATACCACCACAGGACTCCTTCCACCCGCCAGGCCCCGCTTCCCTGTGCTTCTTGAAGTTCCCAAAATGGCGTCATCAAGTGGAGACCAAGTGTTCAAAATGTGACCGTAGGGTGGGGGCACACTTCAGATTCGGACCAGAGTGGCCTCCAAGGTTAGATTTTCCTTTCTGTCTTGGCTTTGTTGTCTTATCACTTCTGCCAGACTGAGGCAAAGCGGGGTCCTCCCCTCCTCACAGTGTCCCCACCCTCACACTGGGCAAGACCCTCTCCACAGGGTTACTTCCCTGTTTCCTACCGTTTTCTCCTTTGTATCTTACCCCGCTGTGTCCTCCTCCCCACAACCGTCCTCACGAATGTGTTTGCTACACGTCCTTAAATAGGTGTGGATCCTTGCAATGCACGCTCTGTTTCCCTGCTTCTGGATGTTTTCGCTAACGTGGCTTGATTCTGGGCTGTAGCTGTCTTTTTATTATATTTTTATTATATTGGTCGGTGCCAGGAGTGTGCCGAGGCATGTCATAGCTGCCTCTACCTGTATGAAGTCCACCAGAACGCGCCACACTTGCTCATGCATTTCCCCAGGGAAGGACATCTAAGTGGCCTCCAAAGCCCTGGTACCCCAAAGCACCACTGTCATAGCTCTCTAGCAGCGTCCTTTCCTCCTGTGTGAAGTGGCCTTGGGGTGGTTGTCCAGGAGGACCTTGTCGGGTCACTGTGATGGCTAAGAGGAAACACTTAGAGGAAACCTCAGTTGAAGAGTCGCCTCCCTTATACTGGTCTGTAGTGGTGTCTGCGGGCATCCTTTGACTGCTAATCGAGGTAAGAGAGTCGAGCCTACTGTGGGCAGCATCGTGCTTAGGCAAGCGAGTCTGGGCTATACAAGAAACGTGGCTGAACGTGAGCTTGGGAGCAAGCCAGGAAGCAGCATTCCTCCGTGATTTCTGCTTCAGTGTTCCGCCCTGCTTGAGTTCCTGGCCCGACTTCCTTCAAGGATGGACTGTAAACTGTGAGACAAACACTTTCCTCCCCAGGCCGTTTTGGTCACATTGTTTATCACAGCAATAGAATTAGGTCAGTCCTGAGGAAATGCTAAATTCCTCTCTCAAACAGCTTTTGAAAGGCCAGGACCCTACAGTCAAGCAAGATTGCCCCCTCCAGGTGGGTGCTGCCCCACCAACTCCAGCTTGCCCCACAGGTGGTGGGAAGCTGGCACGGGTTTGAAGAGAGACCCTTCCTTTGTCTTGCCCAGGCCTAGGCCAAAGGCACAGCTTGAGGCTGTGGTGACCACGCACAGCACTCTAGAGAATGGCTCCCGCATGCAGGGCATGGCCAGGACTGCCCTTCCCCTGCATCCCTGGGTTCACTTGTCTTTCTAGCTGCTGCCAGACAGGCTGGGGAGGAGTAGCAGGGTTTCTTTTGCATGCGTGTGTGTGTGTGTGTGTGTGTGTGTGTGTGTGTGTGTGTGTGTGTGTGTG